GTTAGTGTGTGGGAAAGGCATCGTCATCACACCTGACGTGGCCTGTGGAACTTGTCCTTTCGGTCCGATGTTTCAGAAATATACGTGTCACGTATTCCTAGCGGAGGATGGTGGGTCCTGCGGCGATGTGTTGCGGTCAGGTCCACCGATAACGGCACAGCGGGCTCACCAGTAGAGCCTGTTCCCGACACGGCATTTCCTTCCTTCCGGGCTTGTCTGGGCGCCTTGTCAGGGATACCTGTTCAGGGGCCGCTGCAAGGGAAATTATTAGTTTGATCATATCTCTCGCATTTTCTCATGGAGTATTATATGTCTATGACTCTATGCCACCGGAAATTTATTATCATACAGAACAGACACATCAGACATTTAAAACCATTGACACTGAAGCCAAACTAGGTGTAATGTGACATGCCATTTTATTGTCAGGACGTTTTTGTTTTCTGAAGATATATTAATGTATAATGCATGTTTTGTCTACAGTGACATATGTTAACAGTGCTGTCTTTATCCTCCAGGACTGTGTAAATTGAGTGGTGCATAAATGTAATTATTATTTTGTCTTTAGTGGCACATGTTTACATTGCATATCTTTTTATGTACAGTTGTATAACTAGAGAGGCACATGACACTTAAACAATCAAGCCGAAAGGCGACTGTTATCAACCAAAGACACACAGATGACAGTGACAAATCGTAGTTGTTTTAAGTGGTTACACTTCATTAATCTCACTTGACCATGACTCCTTTGTACCCAGGACCCCCTGTCCTCATCCGCCCTTGTTCAACATCTTTGTAACACAAGATTGAATGTTCTTTACATTGACTAGACCTACTGGAGTGGGAGGAGTTGTGGTCTTTAGACAGTTCAGACTGCCACAGGTTGAGAAGGAGAGCCCCTTCAGACATCTCTAATGGTTTGTTGTGTCTGAGGGAACCCCGATCGGTTCATTTCCCCTGGCAATTTCACGCCCTGGCTGTCAGACCCTGTACCCAAGGTCAAGTTGGTCCAGCCCCCAGCCCCACCACTCTCATGTACAGCCCTTCTAGAATTTCCAGCAGGTGCAAAGTGGGAAGAGGTCCAAATCACCAGCTTTTCAAACTCAATCACTTCACAGTGCTCTGCAGTGTTATTGCTCTTGTGCACACCATATCAAAATACAATCACAGAGGTCTGATGCCATCCCCCAAGGTTAGCACAGCCATTATTCTGAACATTATGTTCTGGCAGTGAGATAGCCTGGCCTGGGGATATGTCAGTTCCTGTAGAGTTCTTGTTTGAAGACCAAGGCTACCCAGTGTCCAGCCATAGGCCAAGGTCTCCTGAATTCATTTATGAAAAGGTAGTATAGGTTGGGATGAAATGTAGGTTGAGAATGGTTGTGTTGTCTCACAGGAATGTCTCTTTGGCATGTTTATTTCAGGAACTACCAATTCCAGCTTAGTCTTCTTTAGTGTTCATTCAGATGCATGCTTTTAGAAAAGTTTTGGTTCATTTGTTGGTATGTTGGTCGACATCATCAAGTCAATGTTGTGTGAGCAGTGCATTTTGTTCCTTGAGCTCTTCTAAAACAAATGCATTGCATTATGGTGATGACAAAGAATCAAGTTGCAATTACTAATATATTGTACACTTAGTTATTTACATGAATAATCTTATCAATCTTTTTTCATACTACATGTATTCACAATTCATACCATGTGTATTGCATGTACTTCATAATGAAAAAAATACTGTATACTATAGATTTCCAAGGTCATTCCATTACTTTAAACTCAATAATATTGTTAGTTCTTGATTTTGTTCTTCTTGTAAATGAAGTTCTTCCAGTTTTGTTATATTTAGGATCATGACTTCATTGATGCACATGGCCTTGTAATCAAGTACAGGTGCACATGGAGCAAGCAGCCAAGGTTGTGCTGAATTAAGTACTCAGACAGGCATTTGTGCTTCATAAGTCCAACTATCCACTTAATGACACAGGAAAATTCAGCTGCTTAACTCTCTTCGGTTTGAATTTGAAATAAGACAGATGGTCAAAGAAATGCCCTTGTGATAAAGCCATACTAAAGTCAGTGTACTTCCTTGACCTTAGCCATAAGTTACTTTCACTTTTAATGTTGCCTCTCTTCAAGGACCGACTGACACATTACTATGATTCTTAGTGTGTAGACAGCTTAATTAAGTGATGCTTGATATAAGTAGATGACAATTATGCAAATCAGGAGCTAATTTGTATAATTAACAAGGATACTCTATAAATATGCTGTGTTCCATAATGGGACTATGGAACACTTGTGACATCATGTAACTGAGAAAGAGAGGAATATCTGAAGATATAGATTACGTAAATGAAGACCTAATTTGCATAACTAATGGGAAATTGCTATAATTTCATAGCAGTGACTGCCAGAAATTTCATACTTCCTGCATTCGGAAGTTAAGTAAAGGTGAACATCAATGAGCATTTATTTAAATCATGACCTCATTAGCATAATTTATAAGGAAGTGCTAGAATAGCCTGTAATTGGGCGTAGAATGTGAACTGATCATGTCACCAGTATTCATGTACAAAATGAAGTTCATCTTTAGGGAGGTGATGATTAGGGACGAACCAAGAAGAATGGGGGTGTAGGCATGAAAAACGTATTACTGCTAATTTGATTAGTAAGATACTCTATGATTGGCATAGATAAATTGACACAGTGTTGACCTGAGTGAAAGTGAACATTATTCACACCAGCATTTTAAACCTTCTGTTTAGCCTTCTCAATCCATTCGTAAGTATTCATAAATAGTGTCTCTGCATGGATTTTGATACTATTGTCATGTAATATGTACTTTTTATCAGCTAAGTTATACTACTGGTAGAACTGGGCAAAGCAAGTATGTATATATACCTTGAAAAAGATTGGATGACTTCTTGTTCCAAATATAAATAGTCAAGACTGAGGAGAAATTGATCCTTAGGATTGACTGGAGCGACTCCAATCCAGCTTGCCTGGCCTTCACTTCACTGTGTTGACTGGAGGCTTTTGCTATGGTGTTTGATAATCCTCTGTAAAACAACTCGAAATACTATTGGCCATGAATAGACTCAATCCAAGTCTTTTTTTTTTGTTTTTTGCCCAAAGTAGGATTTGTTCCGCAGGAATTGGCAAGGAGTATTTGGTTGATCAAGGTCCTACCCTCATCCTATAAGGCTAGCCTCTGGTGTAATGGAGGAAGTGCAGTAAAGGAAACCAAGTACATGCTCCCATATAGGGCAGTTATGTCTTACACAGGATGTACTCATCCTGTCTGGATCAGCTGGAAGGACGGTTTACAAGGTCTCCTGTAACTGAGCAATGATTACAATAAAAGGACACAGGAAATCATAGTGCTTGCACTAAGTTGTGCAGTAGGGACTGTTAATGATGGCCAAAGTGCATGTTTGTTATTGGTACAAGATTTTTCTAACAATCTAAACACTTTTTATAGAGAATAGAAGAGTCAGGTTAGACTAGTGAGAAAGTGAAATAATCAAATATATGTACTGTACTAAATCAATGGACAAAAAGGTAATAAAGATGACACATGTTTAGCTAAACAGTTTTGATTAGGCATCATTGTAATGTTGTAACAAATACTGTTATCCTGAAATCTTACAAAAGACTTTCCTATTTAGATGTTACTTAGACGTTATAGAATAATGACATTGATATGGCCTGGCTCTAAGCCTAGAGTAAATGTTTTACCACTTGAGCATTACTTGTCAGCCTTCTTAGATCCTTTGTTTTGACAACAGGTCAGACGTCTGCCCAGGTGAGAGCACACCTCAGACAAGAGCAATACCCCTGACATGTCTGAGGCTTTAACTTCCTGCTGAGATGCACCATTGGGGCATCTTCACTGTACCATAGGCTGGTTAGCCTTGAAACTAGTCATCTTTACTGGGTCCTCCCAGATCCATGGACAAGGTACATTCATTCCAAGTGCTGGTGCATATCTCTGACAGAGAGTGATTGGAAAAGGTGCTGTCAGGCCAGTGATGGTAGTGCCAGGGTCATCAATTATGTGCTGCTAAAGGGAGAGAGTAATGGGCTTGCTGTACTTTCTGATTAGGACCATGTCCTGTAAACTGTGACTACATCATGTACCTCCATAATTCTTGGCCTTCACCCAGAACATGGGTCTGACTTCTCAGTAGTATGTTAAACACTTCTGGGAGTCAGTATTGACAGGCCTAATCCAGGCATTCTGATTGAAGTACTGTGATGCTAGATGCCTACTATTCCAGTAGGATGTATCAGTGAACTAGGGATTTTATCCAGGGTGAATGCTGACTGATTGAAGTTGTTTAGGATCAATAAATTGCCATCTAGACTTACTTTTAAGTCAAGGTCTGCTTGTACATAAGCTATGATAGAGGAACATCATCTGCAGATTTTTTGGGCCTTCACCTCATGTGACACATGAAGTAGTCTGGAACCAAGTTTCAAAGTCTTTTTCTTTAGGTGGGGTATAGTGGTATCATATTAGTCTGATATGATACCACTATACCCCACCATTATCAGTTGTCTTGTACCATAACATTTCTGTAGAAACCATTGCAGATAGGGATGCGTTGTGATGGAATGATCACCTGATCACCAAAATGGAGTTGACGGGAATGGACTAGACCAGAACATTATTGGCTTTTCCTCAAAATACATGTAAAAGTACAAATTACTGAAGCTGAAAGGTCACATGTGGTTTGAAAAATGCTACATGGGGCCATTTTGCCACAGGGAAGAAAAATAGCCAAGTTGCTGAGTGGCCACTTCATTTGAAAATGAAGTCGAGCACTGTAGACTTCCTATTTGCAGACTTTCTATTTGCAGTTCTATTCTTGGGTCCGGAAAGGAAGCAGAAATTGGATGTCGCTAGGCTAATAATTGAACGTCGCAGGTGACCAGAGGATATGAAGGAAATTGTTGGGTAATGAAAGTGTCCTTCTTTCCTGTTGAGATGGACTTATATAGCTAGACAAGTAGGTGTAACCGGTTTTTCAATTAGTGGTTTCAACCGGTTTTGAAAGTCTGGTATATTAACGGGGTCTTAGGCTAGGGAATGTGGTGATGTTTTTTTGAGGGGGACTGTTACATTATTATGCCATATGCTTATGTGCTACATGTATTATAAGAGGGCATTGTAATCATGACTTTTAAATGTTCTTGCAGATACCACTTTACATGTAGTGTAGAGAAGAAAAGTTGCGTAGATATTTTAAAAAAGGACATAATTATAGCTATCTGATTACAGATGACTTTATTACAAAAATTTGTCATCAATTTTTATGTATGTAAAAAGATGAATATTGATTTTGTAATGGTTCCATATTCTTGGCCAAACCCCAACAATTTTATTGTTAGGCCACACTGATTTAATTTTATGGATGACATCCTCTGGGGACCACAAAACTAATGCGAGAGGGCGAAAAAAAAAAATTCAGCAAAAAAAAAAAAATGCTGCTTAACCACAGGAATACAAAGCCGATATTGCGGATTGAACCACAGGACACAGTGACTGCATCAAACAAGTTTTTATTTGCAGGAGGTAGATGTAGTTAGTCTTATTCAGGTCTCATCCTCCTTCACAGCTTCCTCCTTCGCAGCTTCCTCCTTCGCAGTTTTCTCTCCCTACAGAAAAATGTAAAAGGTATTGCTTGACCTACATTGTAGGTAGATATATACATGAATTATATATACAGTATATAGTTTATACTTTATACCCTATAGAAGTGCATACAACAAGGGGATTGAATAGATGTGGATTTTATTTCAGATAAAAGTTTGAGATCAATATTTTGGGCAAAATGTAAAAGGTAGAGCAGAAACAGTACCCACCTGAAAGTTAGTGGTCCATCTTCTTCCTCTCTAGATCCCTTCCTCTCCAGCTTTCTCTTTACTCTTGTACGCTCTTCAACACGAGTGGCTTTGCAAACCT